AAATGCTTCTTTAAGATTACCTTTGTAAGCAATTCTTGGGGAATTTTCTTGATTGCAGATTGATGTGGGTGGGCCTAACCCATGGGAGGAGGTGCAATCCCAGAAATTGGTCCTCAGTTGTGCAAGAAAGCAGGCTGAGGCATCCATTAGGTGCAAGCCAGTAAACAGTATTCCTTCATGGCCTGTTTCAGTTCCTGCCTCCAGGTTCCTGGATTGAGTTCCTGCCCTGACTTCCCTCAGTGGCAAAGTGTGACCTGAGAGTTCTAAGCTGAAATAAACCCTTTCTTCTCCAAGCTGCTTTTGGTATTAGTGTTTGTTACAGCAAGAGAAGCCCTAGCTAAGACAGATTATATTTGATTTATCTTACAGTACTCAGCTGTAACACTGATACCTGCCATAGAGAACAAACCAAATAAGTTCACTGCTGCGGATATCGTTCTGTATAAATAAAACACTGATTGGCCAGTGGCCAGGCAGGAAGTGTAGGCGGGACAAGGAGAGAGGAGAATTCTGGGAAGTGGAAGGTGGAGTGAGGGAGACCCTGCCAGCTGCCGCCATGACAAGCCGCATGTAAAGATGCCAATAAGCCACGAGCCACGTGGCAAGGTATAGATTAATAGAAATGGATTAATTTAAGCTGTAAGAACAGTTAGCAAGAAGCCTGCCACAGCCATACAGTTTGTAAGCATAAGTCTCTGTGTTTACTTGGTTGGGTCTGAGTGGCTGTGGGACTGGCGGGTGAGAGAGATTTGTCCTGACTGTGGGCCAGGCAGGAAAACTCTAGCTATAGTTCACATTGAATAAAAGTGAGAGCTGATGTTTGTAGATGTGTGAATTAATTAGCATCTCTTACAATTTCAGAGTGCATAACTATTCAGAGTACAATAAGTTATTCCATTTCTTCAACTCCCCTGGGAAAGAGGCTTGACCCTCTGAATGCCATCCTGAGTCACAATGGCTTCAGTGATATTGTCAGGCTGGGTCACAAATGAGAAGAGTTCCATTTCCTTCAGATACAAAGGTTTTAAGGTTTATAAAATGGCATGAGACTCCCAGCTACTTGCCCTTCAGTCTTTAGAATTGCTGCATCTATTGGTGTGAGTACATTGCCTAATTAAGCATCCGTTGAATAATAGTATCACAGATCACAAGAACATGTTGGCCACAGGTAGAATCACATTAACCTCACTGGAATTTCCATTTTTCTGCCTTTTCCCCTGTGCAGAAATAAAGTTGCCAATTTTGTTGATGTAAGCACATTCTCCAACAACTTGAAACTGCTCCAAATACCACTTGCCACATGATAGGGAAAGAGACGAAATGCGGTTTAGGGAAAGTAAATTCTTGATTATGTTGGAATTAAAGGGTATGTACTTTGCTGCACTTTCAAAAATTACAGATAAGAGGCACAGCAGTGTTTGACTCCCGTGTCAAACAGAGCTGGTAATTTACTGCACAAAATAAACAGATGGAATAAAAGAGGAAGGTGATATCTCTGCTTTGTCATTCTGTTCTTCGAGGGTCATCCTAAAGAGAGAAGTAATAATTATAGCAACAGAGTGGGTGTTCTCTTGTCTCTTAGAAAGCTTTATAGGCCAGTTGTTTACTGCTAACTTTTGGTGAAAGACTGGTTTAAATCTATCAAAGCTTTATGGCCTGAGTGGGAGCCATTACATACGGAAGCTGACCCAACTGCTATTCATAAGAAGACCAGAGACAGATGTTCAAGAAATAATGATGTTGCCATTGCAAAGACAGAGACTAAAATTGTCCTAAGAGATCATTTTAAGTAATTAAGGACTAGCTTTCTGCTATGCCTATGTGCAGGGCATGTGTGGTGGCCTCTGTCAATGCAAAGAGGCAAGAACTTCTACCTTGAGACTTGAAAAGTGGGCATGTGTTTACAAGGATTGACATAAATAAAGGATAGCAACCATAGTACATATTGAGGGTAGTAAGTAGATATAAAATATCCCTCAATGTAGACTGACCTGTACTATAATAAAATAGTGCCTATCCTTTGACCATGGGGGGAGTGGCTGTTATGATTTTTTTCATGAAGGTGAAATGCCTAAAACTCATGTTTTCCTAATCTCTTAACTAAGAACTGTGGTTGACCCTTCACACCTTCACCCTTTGCTATCAGCTTCAGCTAAGACTGGGCTACTCTACTGACTTGACTTCCTACCTAAAGCCCCACTGTCTTAGTTAGGGTTTCTATTGCTGTGAAGAGACACCACAACCACTGCATGTTGGGATTTGTAGTTTCTGGGTGGGTTGGGGTAGGAGAACAGCCAGGTTTCAATGATAGAGGATCTTTACATAAGCATTTCTGGTAAATTTTTCAAAGAGCTATCAGGTTATCAAAATCTGCTTGATTACTTAAGGCTAAAATAATTTGGTGAGCTTTTTATTTTTATGTGAAATTTTTTTTATTTCCACACATACTTTCACATGCAGTTTTGATCCCCCAACTATGTAAACAGTAGGTTAGGCTCCATGGCAGAGATCAATGTGCACTGCTCTTCTTTGTCTCCTCTTTGTTCTGGAACATTCCAGTGCATTCCTTACTGCTTAGCTCCACAGGCATCGTGGGGCCTTTCCTCTTCGCCCTCTCTCCTCTCTTTCATTTGAGTGTGTTTCCTGACTTGGCAGCCTTTGTCCAAACTTCCTATCTTGGAAGACTCTACCATCTTGGGCTTAGCAAAGACCCATCTTTCAGCCCTAAAATTTCAAATTCTCTATAAAATCTACCCAATTAGTTTACCAGATTTTTCTCATGTACTTGTCTTCCCACGGTCCTTTAAGAACAAACTTGATGTTTGAGGAATAGATTCAATCTGGACTAGGACACTTGCTGGATTATGGCCTTCATTCATCACCAGCTTGTCAGAGTTTTCTCTTCTTTATGAACTTATAGAGGTCAGGACTCTGCCTCAGATTTATATCTCCACAGCCTCTCCTAATGCTTTGAATAGCACAAGAGAACAATAAATTATGGGGCTAAGTGGAACAGACCTGCCTATTAAGTCTGAGCTGACTGGGGAGTGAGGATTTCTACATTGGCAGGCAGATCTCAAGCTTGGAGACCCTCTGTATTACTACAGAGTTAACGACTCTCATTTTCAGATCTGAACAAAGAAATATACATTGGGAGATGTGTACAGCAGTTTCCTACTTCCTGAAGTGGGCACTGAAGTTCTGTCCAAATCATGAGCCTTTCCCATACTACTGTAGCCAACAACTGTGGTCCACTATCATATACCTGAAAGTCCTTGCAGGGTCTGAGTCATTGGTTTATAAACTCCCCCGACATTGGATATCTAACAGTGTTCATCAAATAGACCTTTCTAGAGGTATGTGAAGAAAGGCATAGCGAGGGTACCTAAGGCATAGACAGGGGAATCAAAGTCACTCTCCCAAATTCTCTGTTCAGAGAATTAAAACCATCTGAGTAAATAAATAGCAAGCTCCGCCGTGATTCATAGTTATTAATCCACTTCTACTCAAGTAAGGTATGTGTAGGAAAAATAATAGAGATTGCAAATTATGCAAGAGTCTGCCTTGCTCTGTTCAGATTTAAGGCATGCCATTTGGGGTTATCTGGGGTGATTTGTTATAGTGACTTAAAAAACTATCTCTGTTGAGAGGGAGATGCAGATGTTTACAGCAGGGCTTTTCAGGTATATACCATCTCTCCATCAGGATGTTGTCTGCGCCTGAATCCTCTCTTTAGGAGCCTCACAAATATTTGAGCTCATGTTCCTAAAGGGAAGGAAGCCTCCCACTTTCCTCCGTCCTTCAGGGAGCTCACTTACAGATGCGAACTGAGTAGCTCCAGCAGGCAGGGAAGTAACCAGAATCCACAGGCAGAAAGAGAAAGAGACTTCCATTTGGGCTAGACCTCTGCCTGGCCCGGGAAGATTGAGTTTGCTCTCAGTGTGGGAACGAGCTCCCAGGGTCAGTGGGTTCTCTTGTCTGAGGCTCCCCTTCTCTCAGGGTAAAGAATTTATTAGTGAGAAATTTCAATTTCAGACTTTAAAATTGTCTTGCTTGACCCCAAGATCTTCAGTACCATGTATTGGAGCACACCCTATCACTGTTCAAACACTGTTTCACCCCCCCCCCCCCACAAACTTCCCTGAGTTTATCTGTAAAAAGATTTTCTTTCTGGCTTTGGGCTTTATTTGGGCCATTTTACCCCATGGGGTTCTGGGACAGTCCTAGCTTCTAACGCACAACCCTTGCGCTGGTGTGTCTTCCCTGGAAGGACCGCATTTGAACTGTCCTACTCATATGTAGCCTACAGGGGTCGCTGTGTGGGTCGGCAAGAGTCGCCATGACAAATTGGAGACTAAAGCACAGAAATGTATTCTGTCACAGTTCTGGAAGCGAGGAGTGCAAAGGTCAGGTGCTGGTGGCGCTGGATTCTTCAGAAGGGACTAGGATGAATCTGTGCCGTCTTCCTCCCGGCTGCAGCTGGGTACTGGTGTGCTGCCAGTCTTCAGACAAGATCATCACTGCTGACAGACACTACCTTGGTCTGAAGAAGCATTCTTCCTATGTATCCATTCTGTGTCCAGTTTCTTTATAGAATAAAAATTCCTTTTGGATTTGTAACCACACTGATGACCCCATGTTAACTAGTTACACCTGCCACATCCCTCCATGAGGGCACAACCCTACCGTTAAATCACTAAGGAGACACCAGGGGGCCCCTAGAAACACCATGTCAAGGTTTTCTGTCATTTATAGTGAAGCAATCTTTGTCACAAGACACTGGCATATGTGTTAGTATCGAGTCAACCCGTGACTTCACATAGAAATGTTTCTCCAGCAGGTCTGAGGTGAGTCTTGTAGCCACGTGTTGGTTTTTTTTTTTTTTCCTTTGTGTAAAGGGGACAGGGAGGGCACAATGTTCCTCTTGTAGGCACTCAGGGATCCAGGTAGGGCTCATCTGAATCTTGAGTCTCTCAATGTTCCCTCTTTGTTGTTTGCAGATGGGAGAGAAAGCCTGGAGACCTTTCTTCTCTTAAGAGCTGTAGATGAAGAATGGCATGCATCCCTTCACAGCTCAGAGACCAGAACCAGTCACATGGCCTCAGCAGTGAAGAAAGGAAGTGCTTAGACTTCTGAGAGCGTTTAGGGACCATGAAATATTTCAGGTCTTTCTCTCGACAATTTTTTTTTAGTTGGTGAGCCAAAATATAAAATTATGAGTTTAAAACTCTTGGCTGAGGGGAAGGTGGGTGTTAAGACTTTCTGGAAGGAATGCTAGCTCCTCCATTTTCTAGCTACGTATATTTAGTGTGTCTTCCTGGTTTTATTGTCCCTCAGTCTCCTTCCTGTAAAATGGGGGTAATTATTCTTTCTATCTTTGGAACTTGTTCAAAAGCTAGGTATGGTACTGGTTTTTGTTGTAAATTCTTCTAGAGTGTAATAGCAGAAACTGTGTTATTCTCTTTTTATCACTTTATAAAGTGGGAATGAGGTAAATACAGGAATTATTCTGACTTTAACATCTTGGTCCTGAGTGTCTTGGTGCTTAGTAAAATTCTTTGTATGGAAGAAAGGGTACTGGGGTTTGGGCAGCAGAAAAGAACGGGAAGTCATCACTGCAGCTGCAGCTGCCAATCGTCATGTTTCTAAGAAGGGCTTGGGCCAGCTTATTTCTATAAAGACCTGGCCTTATTGACACTGCACAGCTTTATTCACCACTTACCAAGGGAAAATATCTTCACGTAGTGGCAAAATCTGCCCACAAACGTGGGGAGTATAGTCAACATTTAATCCTTAATATCACCCTCAGTAGGCGCAGAAAAAAAGAAAAAGAAAAAAATACAGGACTTTAAAAATAAAAATGCCTTTTTCTTTTCAGTTAAATAAAAAGTCTGGAGAAGCTAGAGAGGTCACCCAGATGTGAAGAGTACTACTAGCTGCTCTTGGATGTGGGTTTAGTTCCTAACTCCTACATCCTGGCCTATACCCATCGGTAGCTCCAGCCTCAAGGAGCCCAACACTCCCTTCTGGCTTCCTTGGGTACCAGACACACAAAGAATGCACAGGCATACATGCGGGCAAACACTCAAACACATCAAATAAAAATGAACAGATCTTTTTTTAAACATTGAGAAAAGACTCACATAAGACCAACCAACCATTTTAAAGTACATAATTCAGCTGTTTTAAATATAGTCAAATTTTATGTAAATACCATCTTAATCTTCTCTCAAAGCATTTCAAAGTCTAAAACGAAGCCCTGTGTCCATCACATAGTCCTTCTTCATTCTGCCTCCCAAATCCCCCAAAAGCAAAACTTTTATAAGTGAACCTATAAATTTACCTATTCTGTATATTTAATAAACAGTAATCATACCCTATGTGACCTTTTGTGTCTGGATTCCTCTTTTTATATTTTAATTGTGTGTGTGTGTGACTATGGTGTGTATATGTGACTGTGGTGTGTGGGTGACTATGGTGTGTATGTGTGACTGTGGTGTGTGTGTGTGACTATGGTGTGTATGTGTGACTGTGGTGTGTGTATGTGTGTGTGAGAGACTGTGGTGTGTGTGTGTGACTATGGTATGTATGTCTGACTGTGGTGTGTGTATGTGTGTGTGTGAGACTGTGGTGCGTGTGTGTGTGTGTGTGCGCGCGTGCGCGCGCGCACACACGCACACGCGCGGCTATGATGTGTATGTGTGACTGTGGTGTGTGTATGTGTGCGTGTGAGACTGTGGGGTGTGTGTTACTGTGGTGTGTATTTGTGTGTGTGTGCATGTGTGTACATGTACATGTGTGCAGCACCCTAGGAGAACAGAAGAAGCCATCAGATTTGTGGATCAGGCTGTGAGCCACCCAACATGAATTCTGAGATTGTAACTCAGGTCCTCCACCAGAGCATCAAGCACCACTGAACCATTTCTTTAGTTCCCATTGTGTCTGGATTCTTTCACTTGCTATGTTTCAAAATTCATGTTGTAGCATGCATCGTTCCTTTTGATAGCTGAATAATACTCCAGTATAAGGGCATACTCTTTTCTCTAATCTTTTCATCAGTAGAGACAAAGTTGTTCCCACTTTTTGTCTACTGTGAATAGTGCTTCCATGAATATTCATAAACAACATTTTGTTTGAACATCTGTTTTCAGTTCTTTGGGATGGGAGCAGAATTAAGGTCATATGATAATTATGAATTTAACGCTTTTGGTGGTGATGCCCAGTTATTTTCTGCAGTAGCTTCATCAGTTTTGATTCCCACTGGCATTGTGCAGACATTCTAATTTCTCTACGTCCTTATTACTACTAGTTAATTTATTTTATTTAATAACCATCCTAGTTTATGTGAGTTGGTAGCTCACTAGGGTTTTAATTTCACATTCCATGTTCTTGTTGGACATCAGTATATGTTCTTTGGAAGAATATCCATTCAAATCCTTTCCCTGTCTTTGTTTGGATTTTTGTCTTTCTGTTGCAGAAATGTAAGAGTTTATTGTTAATGTACATTTGATTCCATGAACTTATCATATAAATAGTTTTCAAATATTCTTTCTATTCTTCAATTTGTTGTTCAGTTTCTTGATAATGTTTTATAATTCACAAAAATTAATAACATAATAATAATGTGCATGGAGTATAGCATCCTATTAAAACCAGTGCATAGATAAAACCAGAGCAATTATCATATCATTTCTTTATCAGTTTCATGGTTGAAATCTTCAAATCCCTCTTTTAAAGTTCTTTAAAAGGCCCAGAAAGACAAATGCATCCACTTATAAGTGAATATTAACCGTTAAGTAAATGATAATCAAGCCATAACCCACAGACCTAGAGAGGTTAGGTAAAGAGAGGGGCTCTAGAGGGGATGCATGCATCTCCCTGGGAAGGAGAAATAGAACAGATTTTGTTGGTGGACTGGGGCTGGGGACAGGAGTTGGGGGAATCAGGTGGAGGGGAAGGACAGAGGCAGAAAGTGAAAGGAGAGACAGCTGGAATTTGTGGGGCATTTGGGGGAGGCATAGAAGCCTAGTGCAGTGGAAACTTCCTGGAATCTGTGAGGAGGACCCTGGTGGGGACTCCTAGTAATGGGGGATACAGAGTCTGAAAGGGCCATCTTTTCTAACCAAGCAATGCTTCCAGTGGTGGACTAGGGTTACAATAGGTCAAGTTGTTGGCCAAGGAGATCCCCAAACAACCCAGGCTGATGCTAGGACAGAGGGTCATTCTCTGAAAACTTACAATGGGACCCCATTACTGAGGACAACATCCACACAGCTTATTGCAAATAGAGAGGTCAAACTGATGCCTGCATGGAGCCTTCACTTCTACATTCTAGTCTCTTTGGTTTAGGAAGACACTCTGCAGGCTACAAAAGGGGAAACCAGAACACCAACCCAGCCACAAAACTGTTAACCTACAATCTGTCCTGTCTGAAAGATGTGCTGGGGAAATGGTGGAACAGAACTTGAGGGACTGGCTAACCAATGTCTGGTTTAACTTGAGGTCCATGCCAAGAGAGTCACCCCATGCCCGACACTGCTTGGATGGCCAGGAACAAGAGAAGAGATAGACCAGAGACCTAGGGTAGAACCAAACACAACTGACAAAAGGAAAAATATTCAATGAAATAATTCCTAATGATATTCTACTGTACTCATAGATTGATGCCTTGTTCAGCTGTCATTAGAGAGACTTCCTCCGGCAGCAGATGGGAGTGGGTGCAAAGACCCATAGCCTAACATTATGTGAAGAGAGATTCTAAATTGGAGGTTTCCATCCCATCAAAACCTTACCCTGGAAGCTCAGGGGATCCCAGGAAGAGCAGGTAGAAAGATTGTGGGAGTCAGAGGGGATGGAGGAAACCAAGAGAATGTGACCCACTGAATCAACTAAGCAGGGCTCACAGAGACTGCATCAGGTCCTCTACATAAATGTTGTGCCTGTTAGCTTTGTCATTTCGTGGGACTCCTAACAGTGGGAGTGGATGTGTCTCTGACTCTTTCATGTGCTCCTGGGACTCTTTTTCTCCTATTAGATTGCCTTGTCCAGCCTCAGTTTGAGGGCTTTTTGCCTTGTCTTATTGTATCTTTCTTTATTGTGCTTGGTCGTTGTCTTCTGGAGGCTCATTTCTTTCTGAAGAGAAATGGAGGGGGAGTGGGTCTAGGGGAGAGGGAAGGTGGGGGGAAGAACTGGTAGAAAAGAAACTGTGGTCAGGATGTATTGTATGAGAGAAGAATCTATTTTCAATTTAAAAAATTTAAGTAGCTTGCCTGCTTTTAAGAACTACACACTCCCCACTCTGTGCTATTGAACCCTAGATCTACTTTTTATCTGACTGTATTTTTTTTACCTGTATATATCTACCTCTCACCTTCCCCCAACCCTTACAGACTCTAGTGTAGTGGGTAGCCATTCCAACCTTCATCTGGAAGTTCCAACCCCCATTGAGGCTTCGGTAACTGTCACGCCTACCAGGTGGGGCCAAGAAGACCAAGAGAGATACAGATGCATGGTCTGAGTGTTCCCCGAAATATTGTGCACCCTGATAAACTTATCTGGGGTCAGAGACAGAACAGCCACAATATTAAACATAGAGGATAGGCAGTGGTAGCACATGCCTTTAATCCCAGCACTTGGGAGGCAGAGCTAGGCAGAAATCCATGTGTTCAAGGATACAGCCAAGCATGGTGACTCATGCCTTTAATCTCAGAAAGCGAGTCTTTAATCCCAGGGAGTGATGGTAGAAAGCAGAAAGGTATATAAGGCGCAAGGACCAGGAACTAGAAGCATTTGGCTGGTTAAGCTTTCAGGCTTTGGAGCAGCACAGTTCAGCTGAGATTCATTCTGGATGAGGACTCAGAGGCTTCCATTCTGAGGAAACAAGATCAGCTGAGAAGTTGGCCAGGTGAGGTTAGCTGTGGCTTGTTCTGTCTCTCTGATCTTTCAGTGTTCACCCCAATACTTGGCTCAGGTTTGACTTTATTAATAAGACCATCTAAGATTTCTGCTACAGAAGCCTCAATGGGGGTTGGAACTTCCAGATCAAGGTTGGAATGGCTACCCACTACACTCTAGTAATCAACATACACAAATTGATTCACTGTTTTTTAGTTTCAACATATGAGGTAAAGCATGCTAGATTTGTCTTGCTGTTCATGTCTCATTGCCCTTAACAGCCTGTCTTCATTCATGGCATCACATATGGCAGAATTTTCTTCTTTGTTGGGGTCAAATACCATGCACACCACATTTTATTCATCCACTCATCCACTGGAGGGCACCTAAGTTGATTGCACTTATCAGCTATCTTGGACATGCTGATGTCACTTCCTTCAGATGTATGGGTGAAGTAGGATAGTTGGACCACATGGTGGATCAGACTGAGTGGTGGAATGTGGCTTGTGGCCTGTCTGCAACATAGTTCTATACCCAAGATAGTGCCTTGCTTCAACAGCCTGAGCACTTCGGGTTTGGAAGACTGTGTAAGCTTCTTTCTTCTCTGAGGTAAAGCTGTGGTACAGACTGCAAGTAGCTTCCTAAGGGGCACTCCAACCCAGTGATGACTGTGGGATTCTTTTAGTAGAAAGGGTCATAGGCAACATGATGATGACATTGGTTCACCATGCAATGGAGGATCCTCCCAACTGTAGAGGGGAGGCCCTTGTGACTGGGTAAGCAGGGTTGCACCTGCTGGAACACTGCCGTCTCGACCCAGTGTGCCTTAAATGGTTCCCATCTCTCCCTTGCTGGGTTCTAGTGCCCTCCCCTGTACCTGAAAACGTTACTATTGATTTGTTGTTGTGAGTCTTCCCTACTGAAAGGAAGCAGGCCTCGAGCACCTGTAAATAGCTATTTTGCTAGTCTATCCACAAAGGGTTCCATTTTGATGAAGTCTAATGACCTGCTTTTTCTTTGCTGCTGTTTTGGTTATCACATCATTAAAAAGTCATTTGAAAGATATTTGTGTGGACCCAGGCATGGTGGCACACTCTTATAGTCCCAACACTCCAGAAGATTGATGTGAGAGTATCATCATTTTTAAGGCCTGTCTGGGTTACATAGAAAGGCTCCTATTAAGAAAAAAAGGAAGGAAATAAGAAAGAAAGGAAGGAAGGAAGGAAGGAACAAAGGAAGAAAGGGAGGGAGGAAGGAAGGAAGGGATGGAGAAAGGGAAGGAGGGAGAGAGGGAGGGAAAAAAGAAATTCTGTTTCTCAAATTTTGACTATTTTAGTAATGAACTAATTGAAAAAAAATAAAATTCTTAATCAGTACACTGAAATTATAAGGAAGTCTTCCATACTCTTCTCTGTTCAGCCTTGGTTGACTTATTTGCTAAACCTTGGGGCTGGAAAGATGGCTCAGTAGTTAACAACATTTATTGCTCTTACAGAAGACCTACATGGTGGTTCACAACCATCTGTAATTCCAGTGGCAGGGGACCCAATACCCTCTTCTGACCTCTGGGGACACCACCCAGGTGTGCACATATGATGCATATACATATATGCAGACAAACACTCATACATGTAAAATAATGAATAAATCTTGAAATAAGATTTTAAAGAGCTTACTAAAATATTTTGTGATTTTATAGCATATTTTATCACATTAGTATTTGTTTATAACTATGAGAAATATGGAGAATCAAAAACATCATTAGAATATCTGTAAGTATTAAGACCCAGTGATAGGAATAGTGTAAGGGATATTCACATTTAATCTGGAAATATATAAATAAAAGGCAATGTGTTAAGAATTAGGTATATACTGGTTGGGAGTGTCTCAGACTGGTTCCTCTCTACCTCTGCCAGCTGAAGCATCACCAGGCTGCAGGGGTGTTGAGACAAACCTTGGTAGAGGACAAAGCTTGGAGCCTCGTTGTCACAACAGGTGTCCACAGCGAAGATAAAAGGACTCACTCTGCAATACAAAGCCTCAGATTCCACATCTGAGATGATAAAATAAGCCCTTGGTGAATGTCTTTCCAAATCCAGGATGGTTTAGAATTAATTATAAAGATGATGAAGTATTAATACTTTTGTGTCAAGTTCAAGAACAGGTTTTTAATCGTTGAGACAATCTGTGTATATTCAGTACTTAAAGTGTTTGTAATGATGGGGAATTGGCACATTGGAGTCTGACAGATTAACCTTAGAATTTCAATTTAAAATATGGAATTGACTTGTGATTTCAAGTCAAAGGTACAAGATTTTTGACTGAGTTTGTAAACAGAATTAGAACATCTCAAAGAACTAGATTTACTATATTTATAAGTTTAATAATTTATTAGAATTAGAAGGCTTATTTAAATTCTCAAGGCAGCTATGCTCATTAGAGATATGAACTTGTCTGGCCAAGTCCTTGAAGGACTTAAAAGAAAACTGAATATATAACATTTGTAGTTTCAGCTTCAAATGCCCACATTCATAAATGAGACTCATTGTTTAAAGAAAAATTAGTTTTAACAGTTGATCCATCACTTACACCAATTACTTCCTAAAATTTTAAAAACGCTCCTAAAAGTGTAATTTTTGAGTTGGAGCTATTGCTTGGTGGTTAAAGCACCTGCTGTCAAGCATGAGGACCAGAGCTGGATCCTCAGAACCAACATAAATACCAGGTGGGCACAGACACTCTCCTGTAACTGCCGTGTTCAGAAGGCTCAGACATGAAACGCCCAGAGTAAGCCAACTGTCTGGCCCAGCCACGTCACCAACTGTGAGCTCAGCGGAGAGACCCTGACTCAATAAATAAAGCAGGAAATGACTACAGAATATGTCTAACATCAGACTCAAGCCCCCATAGTTCTGTGTGCACACATCCACATGCTCCTACACATATGCAATCAGTCACTCATACATGTGCACACACATGCACATGAGCAAAGAAAATGTAAAATTTTTAGCAACAACAGTAGTTAAACTTCAAAATATGGAAAAAAAACTATGGACTCCATAATTTTAAATATCTAATATTAATTTAAATTATAGGTAACTCTGATCATACAAACTGATGAGATTTGACACTGTGTATTGAGTGATTCGGCCATTTCTAACATGTGGAATCTCCAATAGTCACACTAACAAAAATATGAAACAGTATCTCATAAATCTATTTTTTGTTTTGCTTATATTATTTAGACAGAACTTTCTGCCCAACAAACCACAGGTATAAAAATAATTCTAGCCTTTGGTTTTATTTGTTGATGAATCATAGAATTTATGTGCCTTTTAGTCATGACCACACACAAATAGCATGCCACAGGAAAAATGGCTAGAGTCCATAGAAAGATAATTTATTAAAATAGCTCACACCCAGTTCTCACATCTTCTATACACACTAGAGTTATGTGAGGTCCCACTATGTTACTGTGTCTGTTCACATTGCTCAATCAATGAGTAGTTTTTGTAAAAGAGAAATGAAATGAGTGAGCAAAGGTCAACATAAGACAGAATGTGTGTAGGCAATTCCACATAAATTAGATAAAGATTTGATGTTATTTTCTAATAAGTAGAAAAGGCAATCTCCCTCCAAGCAATTAAAAAAAGGAGAAAAAAAGAGCTTTAGAAGAAATGACTATTCCCTGAGTTCTGCTAATGCATAAATATAATTGCTGCAGCCAGTGTATATCACTGAAACACTGGTGACCAGGCTAAGTCTCTGAGGAAAGACAAGGTCTTGACATTCAGGATGCTGAGCTCAACATCCTTTCCAACTGCTTGCATATGACTTCATGGTTTAAAATGGAAAACATTTGAGAGTTTTAAAGACCTCAAGAGTGAACAAATGGCATATTTCTCTAGTTGAAAATAAAGCCATCAGATGGCTGGAAAACAGGAGTTTAGAGTCAGGTAGCTTGGATTCAAATCTTAGTTCAGCTGCCAAGAAAAGCAGTGACCTCGGACAAGTCATCTGCCCTCTTAAAGTAAGTTCAGATATTTAGAAGAGCTGTTAGAGAAGGGAGGAAGAACCTCTAAAATGTGTGGGAGCACAAAGAGCTCAGTGTCATGATCAACACACAGGAGCTACCAGGTAACTTCCAAAAATTAATTACATTTCCTAAATGAGAAATTTCTGGAAATTTCTCCCACAAATCCTCCCTTAACATAGCTGCATTTTTTGTGTTTTCTGTCTTCAGTCACTGGCTGAAAAATACACATCCCTGTTTTACATTAAGGTCGTGTTTTCAGACTGCTTAAGGCAAGTTGTCTCTCTAAGAATCAAGAATGATACAGTGCCATCTGTTAAAAATCTGAAGAAAGGACATGAAGGCTGGAGGCTTTTATTAAAATGTCTCTACATATGAAATAACATTCTTCTCATTGAATGGTCATAAATTGAGAAGTATGAAGAAAGCCAGCTTCCCAGCTGTGAGCATCTTAACTGTAACAAACACAAATTTGACTTTTAAAAATTCCACTCTCACATAAAGTGACTGGGAAATTGTTCAAGATCTATAAGAATTTGGGTAGATTTGACATGAATTTGTTGTTTTGATGGATTTTTCAGTACTTCACTAGTATTTGAATTAATTCTCACCAACTGGTCACATTCGACCAGTTCAAAGCATTAAGAAAATAACCATAGCCACACTTTGTATATTATTACACAGGTTTGGAAGCCTCAAGTCTCTAGGGATCAAGGTACTGTAACACTTTGGAGGCCATCTTGAGACACTAAGACTTTGGGGGAAATGCTGCATAGTTTCTGTCTACCTATTTAAGTTTCTAGGAAGACATTTCTTTTGTAAGCAAACTGTTTCTCTAAATAAATGTTTGTTGCAAAGATGCTTGACATTTTACTGAGCAAGGATGATATTTCTCAAAACTGTGTGTTCCCTGTGGATTAGCAAGACTTTCCAAACTCACGAGGAACTAAGACTTGGGGGCTTTTAATTAATTAAAGAATATTTTAAATTAGAAATTAGTATCTCCTTTTTTAATCACAGCAATGGGATAGGCTTATCATAAATAAAGTAACTGTGCAGTAATATGGACCAGCTGTGCCTTTACCAACACAGGGAGGAAAGACAATTAAACTTGGATGGAAAGCCCTCACCGAGACAGAGGACGTTTCTGGATGGTGGGAATAATGGCAGGAGATCATGCAACCTCTAAGCCTTGGGATCTTTCAAAGGACAATCCAGACCTACCTGAGGTGATGAGGTCCTCCTGGGCCAGAAAGCATCATAGAGACCCCAATTAATCTAAATATTCTGATTTTGACAGGTATCCCTTTGGGGTTGCTCTGACAGGAAACTGAAATTTACAGTTGAGGAATATGCTCTGTGGTTAAGCACTAAAATATGTCTGCCTAAATTAACCTGACCCAGAAGGTGCACTTTAATCTCAAAGTAGTCAAATCTTGAAAACGATGTCATTGTCTTAAAAAAAAAAAAAAGTAGAGACACCATTTCAATAGTATAATCAGTGTGAGTGTATCACTCACAGACCCCATAGGATAACTTCCCATAACCCTGAGAGGAAAGACGCCATCATCATACCCAGAAATGGGGGGCTGTTTTTGGTTTATTTACACTTTTGGGAAAGAAATCCTTAAGGCATACTTATGACTGAAAATTTGGAGTATTTAAGAGGATTTACTTAAATCTCCAAAATAACAGCTTTAAGACAAATCTTATTAAATGCTCCATTTCCCTCTTCTTGTCAATTTTTTTAAAAAACTTGGCCCTTTCCCTTTTTTTTTTTTTTATTAAACTTGGTACTTCATTATATTGCAGGAAAACATGTACGGTTGTTAGCCATCACCTGTAGCTCCTAGCAGTTCTGAAAGCAGAGCCTCAAGACTCGCCAACATCGTTAAGCTGGCTTAAGAAGATAGGATTCACTGGAGAAAAGAGAAACTTTAAATGCTATGAACAAGTCCCCCTTCTGAATTTTTTTGCAATTATATTGGCATCACCTGCAAGAATCAGTTGCTCTGTGAGTGGGTGCCAGAATCAATCTTAACACTAAATGTACACCACATAATTCAATGGGCTCCACTTATCCCAGGTCTGCCAAAAAAGCTAGCCGGGTCTTATTTGCAAGAAGTCAAGAAATCCTTGAAAGCCCCAAGACTGACACTGAGTTGTCAAGGCTAACCTCCAATGTCTACCAGAGAAGTATGAATCCGGGTACTAAGACAAGATGAAGGATGCTGTGATAGCATTGTTATGGTCTAGTAGGGAAAATAAATTGTTTTAAGAAGAAAGATGATGACCCAATGCCTGACACTTTTAGGTTCCTAGGGATCAAACAATTTTGACTACCTCTTAGTTTATTGACACTCAAACTACCTTTTAAGAAAATACAGCAAACAGTAAGTCCAGGCATTGGACAGAGGCTTCAGTGGATAAAATGCTTGCCATGGGAGCATGAGAACTGGAATTTTGATCACCAGAATCAGTGTAAATGCTGGGTGGATATGTAAGTCCACCTGTAATTCCAGCACTGAGAAGTCTGGAACAGGGGTTCCCTCAAGCCTCAAGCAAGCTGAATAGCTGTACTACCTGTATCAGGTAGGTAGGTATTGCATTCATTTGAGAGATTCTACCTCAGCAAATAAAGAGTGATCAAGGAAGACCCCACATTAACCTAGGGACTCTGTGGGAAAACACACATCTATACATGGAAACACACATGCTGTCAAAGCACACACACACACACACACACACACACACACAAAGTTCAAGGAAGAGTCAAACCATTAGACAAAAACTACTTGAGATTATGCAACTTGGAAAGAGCAATAGACACACCATGATCTATGCTGGGAGTGACAGGAGGAATAGGTAAGGTCTGTAGAGATCTACAGAATCAGAAGACTTAACAAAAAAGGACAGGATGCTCCTTTCCTGAGGGGAACAACTTGGGATCATCTGTGCCCACTGTTTTCACTGATGGGTGCTGACTCAGAGAACATATTCTTCACCATTATTAGTCTCCTGTTTGATTGCAAACAATCTCAAAGGAACATAGGTTAATTTGTGTCCTGAACAAGGGAAGACTTACAAGGATGCCCCTCTGCTGCTTACTCTCTTCTCAGTGCAGGTGTCCTTTGATGTGATGTCCTCTAACATCTTCCATCTGCTCCTGACGGGATGTACTTTATCCCTTCATGCAGTTCCTGGTCAGCATCCTGGCCATGTGGTTTAAACTCAGTGAGCTCACCAGATGCCTGAAGGTCCAGAAGACATATTCATGAAGTCTTTCTGTGTCAACTGTGATGTGACTGAAAGCAATGTCTGTCTATTCTCCTGCCATCTTGTACCAATTCTTTTGTTCCTTAACCCAAACCAGAACCTAACATGCAGAAGTCCATCTGAAGGGAAGTCAGTCATTTCATTCAGCTACTCTTATAAATGTAAAGGGCTAACATATACCTCCCCTCACCTGGATCCATATGGGAGGAGATAGGTGTCTCCAGACTGTATTGTCTATCAATGAGCAACCCAGAATGAACTGTCTATGAATGAATGACTTCTTTACACACATGAGAAAGTGAGAGCATCACTAGTGCTACTACCCACTCAGTAGGCTCCACAGGAACTTTTAGAGGGAGTATTTAGAAGAGGAAGAGGGATGTTATTTTTCTCATTTGGGAGTTTCACTGCAAGTCTATACATAGAGCTCATTTCAATATCCTATTGTAGCCAGTACATTTTAGTAGAGGGATGTTAAATGAGGCAGCAGAAAAGTCACCTCTACTTCTGGGCTGGCAAGATGGCCCAGGGCACAGAGGTGCTCGCTACAAAGCCTGATAATCTGGCTTTGATGCTAGCATCCATACAGTGAAAGGAGGGAACTGATTTCTATTAGTTGTCCTCTGATCACATGACATGTGTCCACATCTGTGCACACATGCACCACAGACACACTATGTACCCTTCCCATCAAAAGGAGATTCTTTCTCAAGATATTTTTATGGTCATTAGTTGACAAAAAATATGGTAGCAATATTTTATCCCTATTCTATAGCAATGAAGATGAAATTTAGAAAGGTCAAACAGCTTGTTCAAGATTGTATAACTAATAAGGGATGAAGACAAAATTCTAACCCAGTTCTTTCCCAAACACAGCTTTGTAATTTGATTTCCTGTTTCACATGGTATAGCTAGTAGTTCATATCCCCACTACTTTTGGTTACTCTATTACCTGGTTAAATCAATATTTTCACATTAGCATGCCTGAGTATTTCTGTGTATATGCTTATATTTACTAATTGTGTATGTGCATCTGTTTGTGCAGGTGTTTATGTATGTGTGTGTGTGTGTGTGTGTGTGTGTGTGTGTGTGTGTGTGCATATATATACATACATGTGTATGGGTGTGTCTGAACGTAAACATGTGCTTGTGTATGTAGAGAAAAGAGATTAACACTGGATATGTTTTCTCAATCAATCTGTACATTAATTTTGAGGCAGAGTCTTTTACTAAGCTAGTACCTCACAGATAGATTTTATGCTGTTAATAAATAAAAATCATAGTACTAGCTTCTCACTTGAATGTTATTTGGTCATTCATCTCAAAGTATACATAAACTGTATGTGTAAGTGATCAAGCATCTGTACATTGACTCTTCATACTCTAATTTTCTGATTGATTTGGTTAAATAGAGAATCCATTCTCTTGCTGTATGAGGAGAGCCCACAATTAGCTGGTGTGAAACTTTCCTATCTAAATATACACAGCTTGAGACTCACTTATATTGTCCTACCTCTAATAAACAGTATGATTATTACAGGCCTATTAGGTAATGAGGAAAAATACTTAGTAAGCTAAATCTAGCATATCTGGCTTTCCAGGCCAACATTCTACAAGGGGGAGTAACCAATCTGAACTAGCTTGACCCAGAAGAAAGTGTAACCCCATTTATTCATTGTACCACATCCAAGACAACACACCATCCCCAACACAGGTAAATCTCAGCATTCTATCCAGGCATAATTCTGAGTAATGGTGTATGGATGTGATCATCTTTTTATTGGTTAGACAACTTTCCATTTTGTCTTGACCATAATCCAACTCAATGTCTAATGTTAAATTCTGTGCCCACAAAACATCCTGTGTTCCTCAATAAACACTTCAGGTGGAATAGAGGCATTGCAAATTATGTTCTGGTCAAAGGTGCTGACATTTTTGCAATTCTATAGCTAAATGCCTGTCCTAAAGTGACCTAGAAATTTAGATATAGGTGGTAAATAAAAGAGAGAGTCAAGGACATTATGAGAGTACTTAAGGGTAAAAACAAAGCTACTCTTCTTGAGTCAGAAGAATGAACATAAATGTTTCTCTTTTGTTGCATTTTATATATGTATTTAGAGTCTGTGGTGTAAAATCTGCTAAATATTTTAATGCCACAACATCTATTCAGTATTTCAGTTGTGCTTTCCTCTCCTGTAACTTGTATGTGGGGGGAGGGGGGACAAGGAAAGAGAGAGAGAGAGAGAGAGAGAGAGAGAGAGAGAGAGAGAATCACAAGGCAGTCCAAGTTGGCTTCGACTTCATGATCCTCTCCCCTCAGCCTCCCAAACACTACCAGGAGAATGAACATTTTCCTTAAAGAGACCTGTATGGATTACCAGTAACCTGACGGAAAGTTTTAGAAAATCTAAACTGGATCAATCATTCCAAAGCAAAGGAGGAATTCCTGGGGGCATTCATCAGTGTTGGGAGGCATTGTGCTCATAGTAATTTGGATTTACTACAGGGAACACCAAAACCACAGGGTCCTATTACAACCCCTTAAATCCATATGTACATGTTCTGATTCTATTATCATCAAGAAATATTTTTGATTTCCCAGCTCCTTATGGACCTTTCCTTCAGGAAGATACTTCACATGTCCAACAGGTTTTCAGTATTTTTGTAAATTGGTAAATTAAACTTTTGGATTTTATGTATAAGTCTTATATCACTTATGATCCTTTGTATAAAATCATTACAAATTAACTTGGCTATTGTAATCAAAGGAGAATTTATGAGAAGCATAAATTATTGAAAGAGTAGTACTCTCAGAAACAGGTAAGAACCAAGTCAGCATCAGAGACCAGAAACTAAGGTAGTGCTATGGTCCCGGGATGTGACAATCTAAAAAGAAACCACACACTAAGATATATAACATCCACGTATCTTTCCTTCTTTCATGTCATATTCTGGAACTCTAAATCCTGGAAGGACTGGTCACATTCACTCAGATAACTGTTCCATGTCATGACAAAATGAGGAATGATAAGCATGACAGCAGGAGCCTATTCATTTATTACAGAAGAATAGAAGGTGCTGGAATTCACTGCACTAAGATAACATGCCATAAGAGAGAAGCATTATTACCCTTCAAAATATAAAAACAAAATTCTGGTCAAAGAAGGAAGGAAGAGATATTTGATAGCCCAAATCAACACAGCAAAGACAGATTTCAACAATTATTTTTCATGTGACTCAGAAGGCCAAAGTCTGCTTGCATTGAGACAAAAAACAATTTAAGTTCTTAAGGTTGCAAGGATGAAGGCTGGAGGTCTGAACTAAGGTGAACTCACAGGGGTAAATATCATTTTATGAGTTTTGGGAGAAGAGACTTCATAGGTCATGCAGTCTAACTCTTCCACAGCCTCCTCATCGATTACCAGTACTCTATTACACATCATGTCTGGAAAAGGTTGGGTGACCTGGTACTTTCCAAACTCCGTTTCCTAAAGGTATCACCTCAGAAGGTGAAAACAGTGCAACCTGTAGACTCACAGTGGTGGGAGGAGTTCATATTACCTCTATGGGTCACTCTGATGTAACCCATTACATGTTCCACGTTAAGAATATTTTGAATGTTAAAAAATTACTGTTTTATGAACCCAAACATACTACACTGTAGATTAACACTCATTGATATTTGTCTAATTCATGAGATTACAGTGACTAAGGATTATTATTCTTTCTCCCCAACAGTGCACAGCCTCTCTTCTATCCTATTATATCCTCCACCTTCAAGCCATTCCTAAAATAATTATTTCCAGCTTTTTCAACCTTTCCTCTTATGTATATATATATATATATATATATATATATATATATATATATATATATATATATATAGGCAGTTGTGGGTGATCATATGTGGATGGTACATGTGTTTGCATGTGCACATGAGTGCATGTGGAGTCTAGAGATTAATCCCAGATATCTTTCTATAGGAACAATGCATCTTATTTTTTGACTAAGACTCTCACTGGAACTTGAGATCTGCTGATTCAACTAGCCATCCCATGAGCCCCAGCAATCTTCCAGTCTACATATTCATCACTGGGCATGCCACCAGGTGAAGCTTTCACACAGGTTATAGACACTGAACTCTCAAATTTTCGTTCGTATAGCAAGCACTTTACCAGCCAAGCCAAGCCATCTCCCCAGCCCTTGTATCCAGATTTTAAGTCTCTTTACCCCCTCAATTGCCCTGCTTTTATGATTCTATTTTCTGAAATAGATGATCTCCAAGCAGCTTTTATTCTACACTTCCAACTTTACAAACTAAGATCACACTAGCTTGTGACTGTGACTCCTGTGGTACTTGGATTGGGCTCCTTTGATTACTTTTAAAATTGAAGTTGTTGCAAAGCTAAGCCTCCTGTCCCAAGCCTTTTCCTCTAACTTTATATCAGTGCATCTGGTTTACTTGCTTCAGACCCCAATGCACATCCTCACAGTTAACTCTGGTATTACCCAGGTCACACTCTGCTAATCCTTCCAGTATATTAACATCTGCATCTATACCAAAGCTCCTTAAGCTTTTTCCATTTAATGACCCCTTTTTGCCTCAGAAATTGTGCATGATCCTGGGTATCTAGACATAGGCTTACAAATCAAACATCCACTGCTCATAAATCATAAAGGAATTTATTTTAAAATAATTCTTTGATATTCTTGCAATTGTATCCTTTATTAAAGATGAAAGAAAAATTGTACATTAACGTCATAAACATGATTGTATGCTTTATATAAAGAAATAAACCTTGAATGAATATTTGATATCATAAGGCATGGACTATCATCAACATTTTTTAGAGCTGACTGATACTTTTATTTTATAGTCATCAATGTTGAGAACTCCAATTAGCATAAACACATGTCACTAAATGGCAAAGTATATTTAGGGCCATTTCAGAAATGGTTGGAAATTCTGCCTTAA